AAAAATTGAACGGATTCGAAATTCGAAATGAAAGGTGTAAAGAAATCAAAGGAATGGTTTCTGTTGAAAATTGCCGACTGCAAAGCCGATAAACAGTGATTAGCTAAGAGTGAGACCGCAGCCAGACCTTGCACGGCTCGGTAGCCTTCTCTTCTCCCTATCTCAGGCTAATTGCACGTAATAACTAACACCGCCGTGTCGAGAGAGACTCGGACGCCATTTATGGTAGTTTCTTTCGCTTCTTACAGCGGGCAAGAATCAAAGGGAACAGAAGAGTCGTTCTTTCCATCTTCTTTTTTTCTTCTCTCATGTCATCGGATTTGCCAAGTCGGACGAACGGAAGAGAGAATGTCAACGCATCTAGTGGAAAAGGTCTCCGTTCGATCGAGGAATTTCTCTCGATCGACGACTTCTCTAGCGAGTAATTAACGGTGAGTAATGACCAAGCCGCCTTGGGCATGGGCAAGTGCGAACGACCTAGATTCGCCTCCATTTGCGAGTACGGTGTCGCCTAACAGAATGACGATTTCTTCTCTTTCTTTTTTTTTTTCTTTTTTTTAAGTGAAACATTTCACCTCGATGTTCTAATTTATTTTCTAACGAAGAAATTTTTTCTTCGTATCACGAACGAGCCACGTGTAATTTCATCAAGCTTTCGGCAACTTCCTCGAAAGTTCTTCGAGGCCATCTCCAAGAACTTATTACTCACCATAAAATCGATACGATTTCTTCGCGTGTAATTAGATAACGATTCATTATCAGAGTTTACGTACTCGAGACAGCTGATTCGTCGTTGCGTCAATGATTCCAATGAAAAGAGAGAAAAATACATACAACAGATTCATTCGATGAGTAAGAAGTTAATATGATCCACGTTTAAGATAAAGGATTTAGAAGACATTCGCTAACTTTAGACGCTCATAGAGATAGGTATAAATGAATCATGGGTGTTTTCAGAACGCAGGATACGTCAGTGTTAACAACAATACTCGGAAAACCGTCCTGCGCTCTCATTATATTTAGAAGACCCGCCAGGAAGTCGGCAGTTTGCGAAACAAATGAAGTAGCTGAATCGAGAAGCAAAACTCGAACGATACTTATCGAGTAATAAAGATAAAGTTTGTTTAAAGACGATCATCAAAACAGTGATCAGCTAAATTTTTAACTATCACAATTTATAAGGAGATCGGTCTTTGGTTTTGTCAAAATTAAATTTCTTGTAAATTTTTTTAGTTCAGGATGTAAAAATAAAAAATTAGAAAGGAGACCTCGAAGGAATGAAATATCTGCAATATGAAGTCCACACGCGCGACCTCACACTAGTACACTGCTACTTATCACCGGAAATGAAACGTAGGACAAATATTAAGAAGTTGAGTCAATATTTCCCTACCGATAATGAGGCGTCTTCTGATAAAAGGAGATCCGAGGATGGCCCAAATTTTATCAATGAAACTATGAATGCTTAGATAGAAAGAAGAAATTCTATTTGAAATTGCAATAAAAGATTTAAGGGTAAACAAATTTGCTGAGATTCTAACAAATAAATAACCATCATGATTACTTGTTTCAAAGGCAATTGTCGTGGTACACGCTTTCCTTCTTCCCTTTTATCGACTCTCCCTCGAGCAATTCACGGAGCCGATATATCCTTGAAGTGAAAGCAGCTTTCCTTTCGTGGAAAACTTGAAGACTTTGCGCTTGAACTTGATACAGAAATGGGCTAAAGCCGATCAATACGTCCTTTTGGCGCTTGCGAAGCAAAGCTCTCCTGTTAGAATAGCCTGCCGAGAGCATGGTTCCGTAAGCTTCGTTCCAGGCCACCATACCCGTCGTTATCATCATGGGAATCTCCATAGGCACGGATATACAAGGAAAGAACGTCTAGACGAATTGATTTCTACCTTGACTTCGATTTCCAAACACCGAATTGGTAAATTTTCTCTTCTGATTCCATTCGAATGGACAATTTATTGGAGACAATGAAAATAAGAAATCACTGTACAATTTACATATTATCGATAAAATTTCCTTAATCTTACATAATAGAAACATAAACAAGAACGATTGTTGAAATCAATTGTTACCAATAGATTGCTAATCTTCTAAGATAAGGTATCATAAATAATTGTCACTTTCTAAGATTGCTACGACTGTACAGGATCAAAGTACGACTGAAAATTCTTTCTTAATAAACGTCAATAAATATTCTTGATCAAATACACGAATTTCGGAACGATCGTTTACAAGTTCGCGAATTTTACGCGATTCTAGAAACTCATCGTGAAACACGTCAGGTAATTCCACTGATTCACCGTAAGTAAAACTAACGTTGCGTGTTTTTCGGTGTTTAGATAAGATAAGCATGCTTGTCAGCCACCTCTCTAATCGACAGTTAAAACCTAACACTATGCATTTTTCGCGATTCGATACCTTCTACGACGCAGCTCGCGACTGGAAAGTACATAAAATGTTTGCGTGTAGCAAACCGAGACACGGTTGACCCAAATGTATTCACATAGATGGTACGACTAGAAGAATTCATTTATCCAATTGTCCTTTCTATAGTTCGATCAACTACGATATTTTACAGAGGTTCGTCTTTCCTTTGAATCGGAGCTTGCACAGGTATGCCTGTATGCAAATATGGAACCCATTAGGCGGAGTGTCAGATTTCTTGGCGTCCGCGTATGAATTCTTGCGGGTATGTATCAGCGGATCGCTCTTCCCATTGAAAACATCGCGGGGCTATATCCAAACAGCGACGAGTTGGTAAATCTCTCGGATGTGTTTTAAAGCGCGTGCCGAGGATAACTTTACAGAGCTTGCGAGAAAATGAGACGGTCTTCTCGTATCAAATCTTCATGAGAAATGTTTCGAATTCGAACAGATTGTTACTAGAGAGGGAAAGAGAGATATACCTTGTCCAAAGGGAAATCTACACAGTTCGATCAGCGGTCCATGTGCGTTTCTCCCTCGTGGAACTCGTTAATGGAAAATTAAATTCAATCCCTTGTCCCTTACGCAAAGTTGGTCATCCTAGATTGTCTAAAACGCGGATATTATAAATGAAAAATATTGCCTCGTTTCATGGAAATTTATATCAAAATTTCGACGATTTTGAAGAGCAGCGCAGAAAAAGTTGGTGAATTTACTCGGGAACTTAATATTTCGACGCGGTATACGCGCGTTCATCGTCGTCCTCGCGAAAAAGTCGGCTCCAAGTGTTTTCCAGCTCGTTCCAGCCGGAACTAACGGCTCCTCGCCGCTTTAACGCGGCTGGAAGGCCGCGTGTGTGCTTTCGAAAGCGACAAGAAACGCTCGTTAATTTGTTGCAGCGCAACGAATGCAGTTCCTCGCGTTCCCGATTTTATTTCTCGCGGCTTTCCTTCTTTGCTAAATTGCTGGGTCGCCTTTGTTCCACTTTGCCGAAATACTTTAAACCGTTTTTAAATTTCGGACAATGGAAAAACCTCACGATTTCAGGGCTTTCCTGTACACCGTTTCTTAAAATATAATTATTTTTTTTCAATATATGAACGTCTTTTTTTGCACCAGCAAATTAAACTTTGTACGAATTTCAATAGTTAAATAGGAAGTGAACACGCCGATGAATAATGCTTGAGAAAATAATTGCCGAGGAGAAGTTTTGGTGAGTCATGGCTAACAGAAAGCACTAATCATACAATAATGTGTACACGAATATTGCACCGTAATATACTTATTACGAGAGACATTGATTGCAGGATAATTTACTTTGAAATTCGATCAAGTTCAAGATCAGAATCCATGAAAAGTATCTTGCGGAAAAATTGATATTAATTAAATCTAATTAAAAATTATTCCATCACGATTTCCCATGATATTCAACGCGTTGACATAAAAATTAAGAGCCTGGTCTCATTGAAAAGACCGCCGATAAATAAAATCACGTTGTTGAACAAATTCAAAGTTGTACTCTTGTAATCAAACAATGCAACATTAAATAGCTCTTTGAGGGACTCGTTTAGAGAAGCTTGTTGCTTTGAAAATATTTCACGGGGCAACGTGTAACACAAATGGCCGATTGGTATCGAGCACGAAAAGTCAATCCTGGACGCCTAAGCAAATGTACGTAGGTACCTACACCGTAACGACTCCCACGTAAAAAGTAGAGTATTTACGATACGAGTTCCGCGACGAAATCGCGATCGGTTGTTGTCGGTCAAACCCCGAGAACTCGCAATTACGCTTGTTCAACCCACGAACCCCGTTTACACCGTCGCGAATGCGTAACAAACGTTTAACCGGTGATTTAGTGGGCATTATCCTCGTAGAAATGGAAACGGTTCGAATCGGGTGCACCGTTTCGCGAACGCTTTTTCCTCGCGTGTCATGCTAATACGATTTACGAGACTCGCGCGCGTGAAACGAGCGGACCGCCACGGAAGAGAGTTATCAAAGCAACGTTTAAACTGTCGTTTCACGTGTACCGGCCTTTTTACAAGACGTTTTTGCAACTCCTCAGGCCACCTGCGACGAAACTAAACCGTCGGACTCGAGCGTAAGATAGTACGAAAGGAAACGCGTAATTATATATATTAAAAATCCTGTAAAATTCTGTAGAATAACGTGGAGCTCGTATCGAGTCGTCTAGAATTCGAAAACAAAGCATCGTCCGTTTTAATCCGTGAGATTCCAGTTTATTTTTAACAAGCCGCGAGTATGAAAATATCTCGCACCCTTAGGTGGGTCCGAGTGAATATATTTGGCCGACGCTCCCTATTGACCGTGAATATCACCGGATCAGAAATAAGAGAGTAGTTTTATTCGTATTCCGGCGTTGAAACACACGCGCCTTTCCGATCAAACACGGCGTCTTCCTAACGCTAATAATTCATGTTCCATAATTCATCAGCTGAATTTCCTTAGCCGGATATTCGCTATCCAAAACGGTCGAAACAGCTGCCGTATGTAATTTTAAGGAAAAAAAGATTTAATTCAAAGATAAAGTGACTCACCATCTCGTCGAGACTCTTCAGGTCGTTGGTGACGATCTGAGGTTGGGGTCCGTAGATGAGACAAGGTTCCTCCTGTTGCATATCCGCGTACTCGTCGTCGCTCTCTTCGTTCCCGCCATTTCCATGCGCCCCGTTCGCGGCTTTGTTCTCAGCCGCGATCTCCCGATCGATCTGTCTCTCCATCTGTACCAACATCGGCGCCAGCATACCGAATTTCGCGCCCCTTCTAGCCACTTCTAGCAAGCATAGAATCACGTGCCGTTCGTTCTTTCGCATAATAAGGTCGTCCGTTTCGAACAAAAGGCACTCTATGATACCAAGGCTGTTCCTGCACCATCCAATGAAGTTGGACACGTTGTCGCGTGCAAAGAAGGTGCCGGCTTTCGCGTTCGGCAAGAAAGCCACGTCGCTCAGCTGCGACATCGGCAATGCCAGCGAAGAGGTTATCGATCGTGTCATCGAGATCTTCCGCGCTTGGCGACGTGCCACGTACTCGGCCGCCGACTTTCGTACGTTGTTCGCGTGCTGTGGACAAAAACGGAACGGAAGCGGTTAGAGAGGATGATACGCTAATCAACGCTGGAAGGTGGAAGTTCAATTTAGGCTATCAAAATTAAGGGTAGTGTAGGGAACAGAAAAAGAGGCGTTTTTGAATCGCATGCCGGAGGACCGCCAGCGAGAACGGACCAAATCTCATCGCCACCTAGCGGTCGCCGACCCGAACTAAGGGCGTCCGGGCAGATTCATCGCCTTCCCATTTCACTAAACGCCTACAGTAGTTTACTTTTAAACGAGAAAAGTCTGCATTGCCCCCAGGTGTACATGTTCATTCAGAGGCGCGAGATAGCCCCGTCTGACATTCACCGACTACACCTCGTTCGTTCTCGCCGCTTAAAGAGTCAAACAGCCACCGATAGCATCTTAACACCCGGCTAACTAATTGTTCCATTAATAACAACGGAGTACGTTCCTGCGAACGATAAATATTAAAGCCGCGAGAATATACGTGTATAGTCCGCGGTATTCTTTGCCTCTTTTTTTCTTTCTTTATTGTCGGTTGCTTAAGTAACCGCGTGCGATAATTGGATATCGAGACGATGTAAATGAGTTTGCTGTAACGAGCCACGCCGTTACGACTAAACGCCTAATAACAGGTTTATCGTCGCGGTTCTTCTCGTCTATCGTTTAAACGCCGTCGGGAATCTGTTATTTCGTCGACTAACGGCGGACGCCGATTTTTATCCGACGATTAATTGGAAGTGACCCGCGCCGTTGAGTCGCGCGAGTTTCACACGATGTGGGAATAAGAGAGGCTATTGTTTCTCAGCGGATCACAGACTTTGGAGCCAAGTTTCTTCTGGTCCAGATTCTACCATGTGCTTTGATTATTCGAACAGCTGTGCGCTGAGTTTTTTTAGACGTAGAAGAAATGCTGAGTAGATAAGGACTTTGGATAGGGACTCGAAATTTGAGTCAAATATAATTCGAACTATTCTCTCCCCGATGGTTCGAGTTTATTTTTAATAAGAAGAGTGTCGCGTTTCACGTGCCCCGATTCAAAGCTGACAAATATAAAAAAGAATTTCGCGAGAAAGATCAACAGTGGACATAAAATATCCAGTGTCGACAGATTTCCATTAACGTAGCTCTACATAAGTAACTTTATACTCGGTCCACAATGAAACTCGACAGATGTGGTTTCCATCGCGACAGAAGCCACTTGATATATAAAAAAGAAAAAGCGATCCCTATACTTTGTAACAGTCGGTTAATTGTAGCTTGATGAATATTGGTCACATTAGACGAGTTACATAATGGATGTAATTTTCAGATCGAGTTTAACAGAGGTCGTTGCTTTCAGCGTAGATATATACTAGGAAACTTCTATTCAGACCACGTGTCTGCCACCGACGATAATCCAACTATACAAACGACTTGATAAAGCAGTTAAAGAGGTCAGCTGGCAGACGCTGATCGATTGTTCCGTAACTCTTCATTTCCTGTCCCGATACGCTGCCGTGAATTTCAATAATCGTCAGCGAGAAGACGCCGGCCAATATTTCAGTTAACTCAAACACGCTTCTCAACGACTGTTCCGTTTATTTTTGACAAGTTTTCGAGCGAAACGACTGTAAATCATTCGAAATCGGTTAGAGGAATGGCATTCGCGTTATCAACCGGTGCATATCGGCAAGAATTTAGGACAAGCTTTCGATCGTGTCATTTTTTTAAGTCTCTCCCTGTCTACGACGGGTATCTCGTTTTCCACGCTCGCACGTGGAGCCCATAAGGCGATGGTATGCCGGCGGTTCCACAGGCCGAGCCGTACGACAACTCGTAAAAATTCTATCTAACAGCATCCGGTCCGCTGTCCCGCCTCGATACCTCCCCAGGGATAATATAGAGATTAGACGAACGTGTCAACGGCCTGCTCGCTTGTAACGAGTCACCATTTCGCTCTCGGTTTCGTGCTTCGAAAGATCTCGCCCTATCAAACGGAGAATCGAGTGGGCAACTTGCGCGTTTCCCTTCTACTCCGAAATAGTTTCTTGTTATTTTCTCGTCGATTGACCGAATTTCAATCGAGCGATTCGCTCATTTGAATTCGTTTCTTTTTTTTAGAAAACCGTACGAAACTGGAAAGGAGAAACACCAATAAAGGCGAAGCTGAATATGGGATATAACTGTTCCTGAAATTAGCTTTCTCCTCGCTATTTTCACGTGCTAGCCTCGAGACACGGAGACTCTGGTATTGGCGTTCTATCGTTTCCCGAGGAATTTCGGACGGGTTAAATTTGATTAGTACTTGTAACATGATTTGTTGCAAAGATAATAATAACACTTTTCATTCATGAATTTCAATCTTTGCACAAGCACAACCGACCTTTCCATTAAACCGGCAATCTATTTAACACTCCTACAGCGTAAAGAATAACCCGCTTGCGAGAGGTAAAGCAGACATAATTTCTCTTAAATACTGAAACAAATCACCGGTACGATCTCGATTGCATAAATAAGAGGCGGGTTATCGTCGGACAGATCGCGGTTTCCATCAATCGCTGCTCGAGCTTCGATTCCCCGTGACCGTGCAGAACCGGCGAACAGAAAAGGGTTATCACGATTTCTCGTAATTCGCAGCGTAACAGAGTCGTTCTAACCGTTCGTCGAGTCGCTAAATCGCCGGTTAAACGTCCGGCCATCCGTGCAATAACCGTAGAAAATGAGCGTAACGCCGCATGAAGAAGGCGCCACGCGGTCTTTCCATTTCACCCTCGTTTTCCCTGGTAATTGCACGAGAAACTGCGAAAACAAGATTACTAGAAAAACGTTTGCTCTACCATGAAACGATCAATCGGGCTCGTAAAATGTTTATCTTATCGTTCGAAGAGGAGGGTATTTTATTTTTTTAATATTTGCTCGAGACGTTCTAAGCAATTTTGGTTGGCAATAAAACACCGTGGTGAACGAAACGAATGAGAACCTCTGAGGGAAGAGGAGCAAGAGAAGCGTGAAGAAGAGCGTAGAAGTGCGGCGCATGGTAATACGCGCTTGGCAGATGAGAGTTTGACGGCAGGATGTCACATTATGTGGCCTGTGACCCCCTCGTGTCGTCTACCCGCCACTACCGTGGGCAAATGCGCTTAATGAAAATGGCTGGTGCACATTCAACATTGTAAATTAGAGCGGCTTCGCAAGAGAAACGGCCCAGGGGACAACAGCGGCTCGTCGTTAACAGTAATGTCGCGGAGAAAAGGGTAACGCGGGGTGCCGTTTGTTTTATTTAACTCGCGTTCCTGACGATCTTCGACCGCTGCTTTTCATCCAGCAACGCGAATAGAAAACAGAATGCCTATTGTCACGGTCGAGAAATTGAAAGAAATCAGTCAAGATTTTACCTTTTTCTCCCCCCACCCCCCTGTGAAAAACCTTTGTTCCTCCATTTGAAGCTGTTAGAAACTTCACTTTTCCGACTCTCGCTTTTCCCCGGAATAAAAACTTCAATTATAGTTAGCCATTGTACAGCTACCAGTGTAATTACGAGCGTCGCGTGCTGCTAGCAGTCGCTAGAAAAACGAGACAGCTTCTGTTATATACTTCTTCAGTTTCTTATGCATACACGATTGTTTAGCTGGCATTCTTCTCGAGCACGTTCGCGCTGTTCGACATCGTCAGGCTCTTTAAACAGATATCACCGGGATGATTCATGACACTTCCGGCACGCGCATTGTGATCAAAAGACATTCTATCAGAACCGTGTAGGCAATTCCATATTCAATTGTTTGCAATTTCTATTCATTGGCGGAGGATAAATAAAAATTCGACTCGCCTCGCTGGGATTCGTAGAGAAAATTAATGGAGAAAAGAAAAATCTGTTAATCGATAAATTTATCGGGTTTAGATTCCGTACTAATCAAGGAACAAGTTAATCAAGCTATTCGAAACAATCAAGTCCAGCATCGCTGCGCAATTCGATGACATTTTTATTCGCCGCACGATATCATTTCTCCTATGCTGTTATCTTGTTACGTTGATCCGACAACAGGCCTCGATACGCTATCTCCAATAACTATGTACAGTCATTAATTACGAGCTAGATTATTTTGCCTGGCAATTGTGCGCTCAATTACTTAATAGTCCCCCCGTTCCCCGTGCTCCTTCTTACTCAGGCCTAATGTCGATTACCCTGACGGTCGACACACGGTGGGAAAACTGCCTGCAACCGGCTAAACACCACAATATATTATAACGAAACCAATACGAGGTAAATAGATATTTATGACACGACCGAGGTAACTACGAGTTCAATAGATTCATCTCGGGAAGATAGTTAAATTCGTTCGCAAAATAATATTATCTAACGTGAAAATTATTTTATTAATAGTGTAAACGTTTGCTAGTCGAAGATCGTGGAAAGAATTGTTCTCTGTTTCAAGGAAAATCCGTGAAAAAGAATCTCGTTTCGCTTTCATGCGATGCAACGAGCATTTTACACCGACTGAAGAGCACTTTCCATCGGCTAATCCGTCTAGTCTGGTCTAGTCAGTCGTTTCAAGCTCGACTTGCTACACAGCGATACAAAAGGAAACGAAACAAAGCGACTCGTGAAGCTTTGGCAACAAACAGCGGCCGGTTTAAGCTTAAGGAATAATAGAGAATTACCTACACGATAACGAAACAGGTGGAAACATTAGAGATAGTAGAATAAAGTACTTGAACAATAAACTGGGGAAAGTGAACTTTGAGAAGTGAGAAACTGGGAAATTAGCAGCTGGAAAATTGGGAAATTAGCGATTAGAAATGAAATTAGATTGAACGAATTTCCTTCGCCTGACGATAGATTCGGTTTCGATTTCACTGGCATATTTCACAGTATGTTGCACGCGAATACGTTCGCTATAGATCACGATGATTAATCTTAATTATCGAAGCATAACGAAGATTGATAATAAACAAGAAGCGAAAGATCAAACGCGGCAATATGTCTACAAGCGAATTGCTTCCGGTCTTAATTAAAATTCCGTCGA